TTCTCCCTTTCTTACATCACCCTCCCTCTTTTCTCACACACACACACACTGGCATGATGTAACATCTGCCGTATAAAACAGGGGAAAACTCTACTGCCTGGCTTCTTTTTGTTTCAAATGGAATTAAAATAATCAGCCTTCTAAACAGAAAAGTCATGTTTTTGCAAACGCTCTGCTCTGAAAGCACACGCTCTCTTTCATTGCTGGCTAACAGGTCAGCTCCAGTAGGAATGTGATACAGGAAGAAGGTCAGTTTTCATTGATTGTAAATCACTCCTGTGTTTCACAAAGGACACCACTGAGATGACAAGACGCTGACGACCTCAGCTCCTCCAGACCACGTTTGCTTTTATCAAGTCGGCTCGTCTGTTCGCCTGTTTGTGTGTTTGTTTGTGCGGGAGGATTCCTGTTACATGGAGAAATGTAACAGACACAAAAGCAGACGAGGACACGGCAGTGCAAACATCATCTCTCAGCTTCATTTATCTGTTTGTTTGGTTGATTCGGGGGTCAAATAAAATATATTTGAATCTCTCTGCTGCTCCAACAGTATCTAACTCCCTCTGTCTCAGCACATTCACCGACCACCAAGAACCACCGACATCGTAGCAGGATGATACATCTGTGTCCAGAGAGATGGGTCGTGTTTTTGCAGATGGTGGCCTTGGAGACGGCATGGTGGGGGATGTTGAAGGAGCTCCCAGCCCTCGTACGCAAACGAGACAGGGAGACAGACGGGGGCAGGAGAGGCTTTGTGCAGCAGCCCTTTCCCACACTCCCTTTCACCTTTTCTTGTATGGCAGCACCGGGGCTGTCTGACATGACGAATCGCTCTGCCCGCTCTCACTGAGACAATTGTAGAAAAGGAAAGTGAAAGGGGAAGGAGATGTGTAGTTTTCCAATTTAATTCTTCGTGCCTAAACCTGCTTCAGCTCCTTCACCGCGGTCCTGCTTTTCTCCGCTGCTCTGTCACCAATCGGGAAACAGAACAGTCGTGGAATTTTTTGACGCTTCCAGCACAAGAGTACTAGGCTGCGCGGCGGATGTGCCAGAACTTGGCAAACACACAAACACACTCTTGCACATGCTCTTATACACACTAATGCCTCTGCCCAAATGCCAACACCAAGCTGTTGCCCATAAAGTGCTCAGCCTGCCACAATAGAGACATTACCACATGAGTGAGTGGCTTTGAATGGGGCTGAGTTGGTGTGTGTATAGAGAGAGCTGGCTTGGGGGGTCGGGGGAAGAAAGGGGGGCTGCTCCTGGCAAGGCAGACGACCCTGTGGTCACCTCTGCCCCTCGTCAAACAAGCCAATGGCACATTTGCGCATCACAAAACCCTTGCACACACTCCCGCTGTGCTGCCTGTTGCACAAACCCGAATGTGGAAGCCTTTCTGGATTTTTTTTTTTTAAAGCTCAAAGAGCCCTTGATACACAAGTACTGCGCCTGTGTGCTGTGTAAAGATTTATAATGAGAAGCAGTGTGGATGCTTAGCAGAGAAATACTTGGCAGAGTGAGAAAGGCCTGACCTAAACAGGAGCAGGTTGGGGGGGCGGGGGGCACGGGTCAAAAACAGGAGGGAAACGGCTGAGGAGAAAGAGCGTCCTCTCAGGGTAAAGGCAAAGGAAAGAAACTCTCAAAGTTTTAGTCAAGTGGGAGGAAAAGGGGGCAAAGATATAATGGAAGTTGCTGACAGAGAAATGCAAACAAGGGCGTCAGGATAGATTTGACACATTTCAACTGCGGGCTACAGTACAGCAGCTCAGAGTGAGTGTGTGTGTGTGTGTGTGTGTGTGTTTGTTTGTGGAGCCTTGAAATGTCTTTCAGCAAGGGCAGTGTTTTACACTGACGAGATCATTCTTCCGGAAGGCATGCAGGATGTGTGTTTGGGTGGAATGACGGTGCACGTGTGTATGCGTGCGTGCGCGCGGGAGTAAAGAGAGTGACAAGAGCTTGGGGGTGTGGGAGGGGGCTGTGTCATGCTGTCACTGCTGGAATGCATGACAGGAATGTTTCTTGCCGTACGGATGAATGCAGCGTCATGGCAGCAGAAGAAGAAGAGGAGGAAGGGGCAAGAGGACAATGAGAGACTAGTTCCCCCTCCACACACACACACACACACACACACAGACACAGATCCACAAAAAGGAAATTAGGTCATCCAACACCATTGCGGAGAACAAATCATCACCTTAATTGGACCCTTAACAAATCAGGGCGGGGGGGTGGGGGTGGGGAGGGGGTTCCTCACATAAACCTCTCTCTCTTCACACACACACCAACATGGCCACACGGCTGTAGAACAGACTTTCCACATACATCAGAATCCAGTTGACAGAGTTATGGCTCTTTCAGGAGCTTCATTTGGGACAGACGTGTGATCCAACAACGTTATCTGTGGTAAATATGATTGTGGTCACGATCCTTCCATAAATCACCTCTGGCTGAACCACCCTTCCTTGCTGCCGGTGCAAAGGGGGGGAAAAAAAAATCCCATTATGCACCTAGTGACCTATGGGCTCCCCTCGCTTTACGTGTGCCGGATGTGGCAGCAAGAGAACGACTCAGCGTGCA